TTTCTTGCAGGATCACAATAAGTCAATGCAAAGATTTTGGAAATAAGTACTTCGACAACTTCACGTCTCATGCTACGAGAATATATTACTCAGTCAAATTAAAGTGGCATTAGGTAAATTTGCACGTCTACAAACGAGCTTCTTGGGACAACAACTACCGCGCAGTCTGTGGCGACTGTTCAGCCAGGTGTCGGAGCGTCATCTAATGGTCATATGATTGGCCCCACGGCTGGTGGCGACAGTTGACAGTCTGGCGCCACGCTACTTCAACTGCAGTGAACCGGAACATCGTCAAGCAAAGGGGTCGGGGGCTTTACTTGTTGACGAGACAGAGTCGGCGATTACGATGGCCCTTTCATTTTCGATAGAGCCGATGGTTCCTGTGGTGCTAGCCTCGGGGAACGTGGGTCACGCGCTTGTCCTTCGTCGGCCTCTCTTGTCCCCTCATATATCTTTCGATGATGTGGGCTTGCGTCACCATCTTTTTGAATCTACGTGGACCAGTGGCGGCCGGGTGTGCCGTTTTGTGATTCATTCCGACTCCTGCAAAAATGTGATCTCGGATGAGGTCGTGGAGAAACTTGGGATGACGCATCCAGCTCCTTACAGCTTTTGCTCGGATACAACGTGACAATGTTGCCCCTGTTAACCGTCGCGTGTTGGTTTTCTTTTCTATTAGATTCACATATAATTAAGGATACGGTGAGGTACAAGTTATAACTTAGTGCCTATGGATGTGTGGCACCTCTTATTTGGGCGTCCTTGGTAGTTTGATCGAGCTAGCCGTGTTGCACGGTAGGCGCCTTAACACGTATGGATTTTATTTGAGGGCGTCTGCTTAGTCTTACACCCGTTGGCCCCCCGTTCAGTTTTTTTGTCACCGCCATCGACGACTTTATTCCTTTCTCGTGCTGAGTCGTGTGAGGAGTTATTCGGTTCGTCGGACGATCTTTCGGTGGTATTTGACATGGGCGACTTAATTTGTGTGGGTTGTTTGTAATACTAGAGAGAGATAGACAAATATTGTACTCAAAGCTCCACTAGCAGTGGAAGAACCAACAGAACCGGCAACAAATGAATCACCGATACCACT